CCCCACCACACACACACACACACACACACACCACACACCACACACACACACACACACGCACACACCACACACACACACACAACACACACACACTGGCCTGCGGCTGGTCCGCGCTGCGGCCGCCGATCTGTGCACCGCAGCGCACGCACGCACGCGCGCGCGAGGGCACAGCGGCCCCGCGGGCGGAGAGGGCCGGCGCAGTGCGCCGCAGGGGGGCACACCCACATTGAATGGCAATGAAGGAATATGCATACTCACCCATCGCTGTGTTGTTCTCTGTGACAGTTGTCCGCTTGTCACCGTTCATGGCGACAACGACGGGAGACGTTCGGCAACATATCCATGGTGGAATACGACTTCGATGACGAGTCATTCGACGAAGTGTCGGACGACGCCAGAGACTTCATCGACAAACTTCTAGTCCTAAACCAAAAGTTAGTAGGCCCCCCTATCTGTGTATCTGTGTATGTGTGTGTTTGTGTGTGTGTGTGTGTGTTTGTTTGTTTGTGTTTTTTTTTTTTATTTGCTTGTGTGTGTGTGTGTGTGCGTGTGTTGTGCGTGGTGTAGCGTGCGTGCGCGTCAGCTTGCGTGTGTGTGTGTGTATATATCTTTGTGAATCTGTCGTTCCATTAGTAACTAAACAGAAATGTTTTATTTTGTTTATAGCAAACGAATGTCAGCCAAGGAGGCCTTGAGACATCGCTGGTTAGAGGTACGTGAATAAATTGCGCCTAAGAATGCTTCACGACCTGTTCACATTTCCAGGTTATCCCTAATAACATCAAGGGTGAATAATGATAGAATTCTAATTACAATAGAATTTATATTTAATGTTTATTTTACAGAATTTATATTTAAGAATAGAATAATCTATTATTATTCACTCCTGATATATCTCTATGTTCAAACGCAGTAATAAAGTTATCAATGATATTAGGTGGAATTGTGTTACGCCAACGCTATATTGAGTGACACATCCCACACTCTGTCAGGTTAACGATAAGCTTTTGTCGTCACCAATACTTTAGTAGCAGACAAAAACGCGTCGTACATAAAGATATTCGACGGAATTAATACGTGTTTTAATTATTGTGCGCTGAGATGTTTTTATGCGCTGTTGCATCGGAGGAGTGCACGTGCCGTTCCTTGCGCTGTCCCCTAACCACTCTTTCATACGCAGAAAACCCCACCATGAATGCGGGCTGATGCCTTGGTCTTATGATTGCCTTATGGCCAGGGGTAGGCTCAAAGTTATGGTTAGGGTTAGGGATATACTAGTTAGCGGTAGGGTTGGAGTTAAAGTTATCGTTGAGGTCAGGGTTGGGTTAAGGTTACAGTTACAGTTAGGGTTATGGTTATTACTATAGTATCGGGGTTAATGCTAGGAATACGGTTAAGCTTATGATTGCGCGTTGGGTTAGGGTTAGGGTTAGAGTTAGAGTTAGGTTAGGATTACGGTTAGGGTTAGGATTACGGTTAGGGTTAGGATTACGGTTAGGGTTAGGATTACGGTTAGGGTTAGCATTTCGCGTTGGGTTAGGGTTTGGGTTAGGGTTAGAGTTAGGGTTAGGATTACGATTTATAGTTAGGGTTATGATTACGGTTAGGGTTAGGACTGCGCGTTGGGTACTCGCTTACTACGTTACTTCCTCCACCGACCTCACACTGCCCCCTTCTTATTCTGCTCCCCCATTACATCTGTGGAACAGCAGCTGCTGTTTAACGCAGGATTCTTTCTCTTTCTGTGCAAGCAGAAGGAAGAAGTGCGGGACACGAAACTCGACAAGAAGAAGCTGAAGAAGTACGTGATAAAGAGACGCTGGCACAAGGCCACCAACGCCATTCTCGCGTTACGAAGAATGGGCGCCAACATCTAACTCCAGCGTCGCAGACGACTCTACATTCAAACCCGAATGAGCGCCCTCTATACTCCTGACGTTCTATTTCCGCACAGTAGCAGACCAACGAACTGCTGGCGTCCGCGGGGGGAGGCGCCTTTTCACCAATGCGTCGTCTGCTTGGACGGTTGTGACGTGTCGGGCTACGGCGACGTTTATGGGAGGTTTTGATCTCGTTTTTGGTTTGTCGCTGCGAACATTTCCGATGTTGGAACAACAGGGGTATTATGACTAGCAGACGAGAGGACTGTCTGCCATCACTGCGTCACTCCGACGCCATTAGTGCGTCATTTCGGCGCCATTACTGAGTCACTACAGTTACCATATTTCTACCATCGAGGCTGGTTTATCGAGTACCCGGATGCCTTTTCCCTCCATTTGAGATCACTGCGAGTAGTTTATGTGGGATGAGATCGCTGTCATGTATAGTCATTTTAAGAGATCTCCTCTCGCTATATACGTTTTTATCTATATATTATCTATGTGTAATTTATTCGTTATTTAATTGTTCTTATGAAGACTGCTGACGTGTAAACGTAGTTTTGTGCTGTCGTATGGAGGTTTTACCGATAACACATTATCTCTATTAGCTAAGACTTCTCGCCGCAAAAGCCGACTGTGCTCTTGGCCATGGCACACAGCATCAAGCACATATATAAATTCGGCAAGTCTAATAAGATGAATATATTACGCAATCGGTCATTACCAATCAGGAATGTTCACTTCTAGTCACGTATAAGCGCTACCGGCCGGTATATCATTTTGTAGTGAAATCTGATGCATGAAAGTCGAAAGCACTCGTTCCTTACATTTCCATCAATAACGATGCCAGCTGCAGTACCATTTTTGGCACGAAATTCAATGTGCCGCCACCTAGTGGCAAATAAAATCGTATTTATTTCTTATGAATAAACCGGCAGGACCTATAATATAAGCAATATGCTTCGCCATCTGACAGCACCCTGCAGCAGGCAAATCAGAAGTGACGGCCCCTTGCGTGTTTATATAAAGTTAAACTTTGTTTAGTAAGCTGAAGGCAGTTAGCTTTACCACGAGAATCGTAATGTAACGTGACGTGTGTCTGTGTGTGTGTTTGCTGTTAAACACACACCACGTGCCTGCGCGCGCGCGTGTGTGTATGTGTGCCTTGGTATGATAAACGAAATATACAGTTATAAATATTCTACGCTATTGGTAATTGCATTACTTTCGGGTCTGCATGATTCTTTATTGTTATTGTTTTGCACGTTCGAGGAGAATTTTTATGTGCGCATATAATCGTGTAACATGAAAGGCTTTTAAATATGAATGATAAAACTAGTACACAACATCTTCATTTGTTTGCACCACAATACCACGTCCCTTCTTTACTATAACATGCGGAACTTTGTCACGATGTGTTTACAAAAACATACTAAAAAATTTCGCGGCCTGTTAACGCGAACATACAGTTATTTTCAGCGACATAGATGTTGAGTCATCGGCTGCGACACGTCAACTGTATGAAGCATTGTTGCGAATCTAAAATAAATGGCAGTCTATCGTAGCGTTTAGCGCATATATATATATATATATATATATATATATATATTATAATACAGTATATATATCTATAATGATATAGTATACTGTAGTATTATAAGAATTGTCTATAGTTTAGCGTAGTGTAGCTGTTAGCTTGTAAGGTTGCGGCGACAAGGTGATGCCAAGTTTCCCTTTCGCCTCCGGCCTCGGGCTGCCCTCTGGCGGCGCTAATGTGAACCTCTGCAGCACGCTCGAGAAGAAAAGGAACAATTCCATCCTGGCGAGAAGTTCACCGATGCAGAGGCGCGTACCGGATGAGAACGGGATCAGCGCTTCCCGGTTCGTGACCTTGCCGTCTGCGTCGAGGAAATGTTCGGGATAGAACTCGTCCGGTTTCTCCCAGTATCTCGGATCGTGCGTGACGGCCCACAGGTTCGGGATCAGAACGGTTCTGTTGGGAATTCGGTAGCCTCCTATGGTTGTCTCCTTCGTCGTGGCACGTAGCACACCAAGAGGCACGACGCTGCTGCAGCGCAACATCTCCAGTACGGCGGCATGTGTGTAAGGCAGGTTCGGTTTATCTTTAATAGACGGAAGGCGCCCTCTACCGACCACTTCATCTAATTCGGCCTGGACCTATTGGCATGGGGGGGGGAGGGAGGAGAAAATTGCTGTAATAAACTAGTCTTGTTTATTGTCACTGAATTTCTGTTGGCGCGTATTCGTAATATAATCTCTCTTTCACTGCCTCACGCGGGAGACGTACACACTCTCTCTCTCTCTCTCTCTCTCTCTCTCTCTCTCTCTCTCTCTCTCTCTCTATCGCGCGCGCGCTCTCTCTCGCTTTTTCCCGCTCTCTCTCTCTATCGCGCGCGCTCTCCTTCTCGCCCTTTCCCGCTGCTGCTCTCTCGTCTTCTCTGCTATAAAATCGCGCGCGCTCTTCTCTCGCCGCTTCCCGCTCTCTCTCTCTCTATCCGCGCGTCGCTGCTCTCTCTGCTCTCTCTCTCGTCCGCCCTTTCCCGCTTTCTCTGCTCGTCTCTCTCTCTCTCCCATCTCTTTCTCCTATTTCTCTCTATTGTCTCTCTCTCTCTCTCTCTCTCTCTCTCCTCTCTCTCTCTCCTCTGCGTCTCTCTCTTCTCTCTCTCTCTCTCTCTCTCTCTGTCTCCCTACCTCTGTCGCTGTCTCTCACTCACTCTTGCTCCAACTATCCCGCTAAGCTGAGAGATACTACTATATAGTCATGCACCGGGTAACACCGTCTTCATACTATACGCATTAAGAGTCCATAATAGAGATAAAAGAGTCTCTGTTATGGACTCTTGATACGCATGAATCTAATTCAGCATACGCATGAATCTACTTCAGCATACGCATGAATCTACTTCAGCATACGCATGAATCTACTTCAGCATACGCATGAATCTACTTCAGCATACGCATGAATCTACTCCAGCATACGCATGAATCTACTTCAGCATACGCATTCATGAATCTACTTCAGCATACGCATGAATCTACTTTAGCATACTAATACATGAATCTACTTCAGCATACGCATGAGCGTACGCTGCATGCGGGAGCAGCCTGCTACCTTTCTCTGTATGTCCGGATATCTCAGCATGTAGAGGAGGCCCCACTTAAGTGTATTGGTCGTCGTCTCGGTGCCAGCGGCAAACAGGTCCCCGAGACAAGCCACTAGCTGCTCGTCTGAAACGCAGGCAAACACCGGCGTGTGAAGCTAGTGGGAATTAATTCGATGATAATGAGATTAATTAGATGCTAATTGGATTAATAAATTAATAGATCATAGAATATAGATGATAGAGAATAGATTATAGGGAATAGAAAATAGATAGATTAATAGATTAGATAAATTAATAGAAAATTACTAGAAAATTACAATTAGAAGAATTAAGATTTACAAGAATTACTATAATAGAAAATTACTATAGAAAATTACTAGAAAATAGATTAATAGATTAATTAGATGATAATTTAATTAGAACCTCCTTGTTGAATTAATTCGATTAGTATATAGAGCCATCGAGTTATGAAGAAATATGAACGGTGTCACAGGGGAAATACTTTGACGCTTGACGCTATAACCAGGACTGAATAATGACAAATTGTCAAACTGTAACAAAAGCCCATTTTACTGTTGCCCTCGCTTTCGCAGAGATGCCGCCCTCTGGTGACGCATAACAAATACCGCTAATACAAACGGGCCTAAGTTTTGTGGCAAGTATATAGTCCCCAGAGTTGTATTAGGTATATAGTAAGTATATTTGTAGTAAGTGTAGTAGTTGTGATATAGGTATAGATACCTGACATGTGGGTAGTAGGATGGCGGGAAGTCGAACCCTCCTTCGTCGTCTGCATCTTTGCGAGGTAGGCGTCGATGTAGTCACGTGGGTTGCTGACGTCGACTGTCTCCTTGTGCTCAACTAATTCGATATCCAGCCAGTTGGCGCGTATCCAATCGCTGTTCCTCTTGAATTTCGTCAGCACGTTTCCTGGTAGAATGCGAAGGAACGGCAGAAAGGCGGCTGCAGCTCCATTCGACATATTAGCAGCCTGTTGTGTGTGTGTGAGAGAGCGAGAGAGAGAAAGTATTGACCGTGGGTAGTATTAAAGAGAGAGACAGAGAGAGAGAAAGAAAGAGAGAGAGAGAGGGGGGAGTGAGGGAGGAGAGAGGAGGGAGCGAGAGAGAGAGAGTATTGACCGTGGGTAGTATTAAAGAGAGAGACAGAGAGAGAGAAAGAAAGAGAGAGAGATGAACCCTGCGCGCCGCCCCTGACGTCACAAATTATATCAATACCAAAATTTAGGTCTCTAGCTCTCGTTAAG